CCCCCTCTCTCCAACTCCAACTCGTGTTTATTGAGGGTTTTGGTTTTGAACCCATCGTCGAAGAGGGAAGTAAGAGATACTAGGTTGTAGTCTAGTCGGACGATTTCACGTTGCCAGGAGCAATTGTAGCACAGGCATGGTCGGTGTATGTGCGGAAACCGTTTTGGACCTACAGGTTACTGCATCGGGGGAAGTACACCAACTCCGCCCCCCTCTCTCCAACTCCAACTCATGTTTATTGAGGGTTTTTGTTTCGAACCCGTCGTCGAAGAGGGAAGTGAGAGATAATAGGTTGTAGTCTAGTCGGGGGACGTGTGCAACCCGTTTCAACAACAGGTCGGTTGTACCGTCGCGCGAGCTATGGGTTACCGTCACGTCGCCGTACCCTACGATCGGGAGAAGGTTTCTAGGGCGGCGACGCGTACACGTCGATCACACTCTTCGTAACGGACGAACCCATCTGAGTTCGCGAACATGTGGGTGGTAGCGCCGGTATCCGTAACATACCTACCCCGCCTAGCCTGCTCTACACCCCCTCGACCAACGACTTTGTGACACTCGCCTGAGATGCCACCGACCACCAGCGCCTCTTCTGCCACGTCCAGTGCTGTGACGTTCGCAGACGCCCCCCCCGCCGGCACTTCCACCACGAGCACCGCCTCCTCGGTCGGGCACTTGCTCTTGTTATGTCCGTAGCCCTTGCATGTCTCACATCGCATGGGCTTGCCCTCGGTGCAGTCGGCCACCTGGTGGCCCTTCTTGCCGCACCGGAAACAGCGAGCGCGCATGCTACCCGCATCCTCATCGCCGCCTCCGCCACCGCCACCAGCCTTCGCGCCACCCCCTCTCCCCTTGTGGTTGCCGCCACCGCCGCCGTCACCCTTGCGGCGGCCGCCGTTGCCGCGGCCCCGCGCTCCTCCTCCACCGCTTCCGTCGCTCGCGAGGAGAGCGTGCTCCGCCCTAAGCTGGTCCTTGGAGGCCTTTCTCCCCTCTGGGAGGCTCGCGTGCAACGTGCTCACGATCCTGACGATCTCGGCCCTCTCCAGCGCCGTTGCTGTCTCCAACAGGAACTTCGCTTGTGGGTACCCGAGTGGGAGGGAACCTACGAAGTGGGCGAGTACAAAGGGTGCGTCAGCGTTGAGCTCTTTTTCGCGTAGGCGTGACTACAGCAGCTCGAGCGAGTACAGGTGCTCAATGTGGTTTCTGCTGCTGTGTGTGGGGATCGTGAAGTTGAACACTTGCTTCACGATCGCCATGTCGGCTTCTCTGACGATGGCAGTGGTCACAAAATGGAATGCTTGGAGGCCCCTCTGGACCTCGTTGCTGGTGTATTGGAGACGGTACAGCTCCGAGCTTGGCACGTTTGGGTTGCCGACAGGTGCATGTCTCTCGTTGTTGCCGATCAATTGGCCGTCCAGTCCTACAGTCTTGGCCACTTGGATAGGCGACTTTCTCCACGAGTCATACTCATGGCCGCGACTCTCCCCTTCGAGACGCAGGGCATTGACTGTTACTCTGTTCATGTGGCTACTGCTGTAGCCATCGAGGAATTCTCCATTTCCTCGAATCACGGGTATCTCACCTGGGGGGTTTAACCCCTTCGCTTCCCCGTAGTCCGGTCCTAGGCCCGGACCCACTCCGGCTGATCTCACAGGATTCGCTCCCGATCTGCTGGCCCAGCCGTCTTCCAGCAGCTGCCGTGGTCCTTGCCCACCGAGAGACAACCCGCTCGGTGTCATCGCCGCGCGACGGCTACGACTACATCTGGGAGGTTCGCGCCGGTGAGACGGACGAGGCCTGGAAGCAACGGCGAGCGGGGCTGAGGCCGTTGTAACTCTGACCATTCTCGACGAAAACGTGATAACTTTGAAGGAGGTACACCCCGACGGGCACATCGTGCGGCAGTTGGACGAGGTGGTCATGGTCAAGTACGTTCGAAGGGAGATCAGGACTCTCACGGATGAGGAGCGAGATGAGCTTTTGGATGCGGTGAGTACAATAGTCTTATTGATGTCGATCACATCACGACATGACCACCATTTCAAAGATATATAGTTGCTGTGAAAGTTGGCCCAGGCTTTGCACCGTGTTCAAGCCGTGGCATAAGTGAGGAATGCGTATGCGACACGCGCTGTATGAAACGTGAAAAAAGCGTGGGTAGATCGCGTGTAGTCTGAAACTGCGAGAACCACCGTTCTGTTAGCAGTAAAGCTGCTTGCTGCTATGCCAGTGTATTTTCTTCTTTACAATCATTGTCAGGTGGGTTAAAGCTGTGCGAATCGCCGAGCGATCCGGGT